CGAGATTTTCAGATTAAAAATGTAGCCCTCGACGATCGAACAACTTTTTGTTAAAGGCCAAAGGCTAGAGCAAAATCACTCCTACTAGATCACAAGACCTAGAAGAAGTGCATGGTATCTAGAGGGTGAGCAGGCTCAAACGAATTGGTGATTTGTGGAAGTAGAGAGAGAGAAGAGAAAGTCGGAAATAAGTGATTTAAAGAAGTCACAAGTCGGAAACTTAAACCCAGTCTTTGACAGCGTAACCCTCGCCAGGCGACTCGCAAAACCCCTTCGCCGCGCAAGCGTCACGTCACAAACCAGCATGGTCCCGAGCGTTCCCACTACCAGTGCCATTCGACGACCAACTGGATGACACTCTCCGCGACATCTCGACAGAACCAGTCTCCGCTGAGCTTCCAAACTCTACGCTCGAGCGTTAACAACGCTGCACAGGGAAAAATCTGAATGGGTGTAATCTGCCGCCTCGAGCGCCGAGAACCCGTCCGCTCGAGCGTACAGGCCAAAATCTGGGCAACTATTTTGGTTTCTAAACTCAACCAACCTGTAACAAACTCGCCCAACACATCCTATAACTCAAATACGAAGTAAAAAGGATGTAAACAAGATAGTAATCAACTACCAAATCACGGACACATGTCCGGATCACGTGACAACAAAGGTAAACCCGGGATCGCTATACACACATTGCTCACGTCCGTCGCACATCGCCATCGACATCGCCCTCTGTCTAATGGACTCCTCATTTCTGGGCCGTGGAAGCAGGGTTGGAGGGTGAGATACGAAGGGAACGAGTGGGATTCGGAGACCTTGAAGGTTTTTGTGGTCCCTCATTCGCATAATGACCCGGGTTGGAAGCTCACTGTTGAGGAGTATTATGATCGACAGTCGAGGCATTATCTTGATACCATCGTCGAGGCTCTTTCGAAGGTGATTGGGTTTAATTTTGGGTTTGAAATTAGTGTTCCTTGATCTGAATTCAGTTTGGTTTTGTTTGGAAACTGAGTTTAATTAGTTAGTACTAGTTTGCTTGATCTTAATTTTGTTGGCGTTTTACTGATTTCAAAAGGGATCTGGGTTTAATTTGGGTTGAAATGTTCTTTATTGATCTGAATTCAGTTGGGTTCTGTTGTGAACTGAGAGTTTAATTAGTTAGCAGTAGTTGCTTGATCTTAATTTTGTTGGGTTTTTACTGATCTTGATTATTGATGAACAATGATTCTGCTTTCGATCTAGCTTAACTATAGTGCCGGTAAACTTACTAGAAAAAAAAATTAACTTCATGCAAAGAACTTAATGCTTCATTACGGAATAAGATAATACTCCACACAGAAATCAAGTTTTTGTTGGAATTTTGACAAATTAATATATCCATTCAATTATTTGGACCAAGTGAAATTTATTGTGTAAAAAAAACAGAAGTCTTATGTAATATTGATAGATATAAAATTCACAAATGATTTTTTAGATACTCAGGACATTTAGTTATTGGATGAGAAAATATATGCAAACTTGTTGGCTTTGAAAACTACTAATGGAACTAAAAAGTGAGAGGCTCACTAGTAGCTTTCCGTTACCAATGCTCTCTCTCTCAAGAATGTTCAATCTAGTAGTTTAACAAATGATTTTTTGGGACTCAGCATTTAGTTTATTGGATGAGAAAAAATGCATACTTGTTGGCTTTGAAAACTACTAATGGAACCTAAGAAGTGAAACGCTCACTAACAGGTTTTCTCTCTCTCTCTCTCTCTCTCTCTCTCTCTCTCAATTATGGTGTGTGTCAATTGCCTTGAACTTAATTGGGGTTGGATTGCTAGTTTATTGATATTATCTTTGCCTAGTCTATGGCAAAAAGTTATTAATGTTGAATGCTATACTAATTAACATTCTTTGAACTTGGATTTGCAGGATCCTCGCTGCAAATTTATATGGGAGGAGATGTCTTATTTGGAGAGATGGTGGAAGGATGCCTCAGAAACTAAAAAAGAATCTTTCATCAATCTAGTGAAGAATGCACAGTTAGAAATTGTTGGAGGTGGGTGGGTGATGAATGATGAGGTAAAATCCGCAAACATGTGGATAGTTTGAACTTGCGTGTTTCACCTCTGGGCTTCCTTATAAATTTATTTAGGGTGTGGGTTTGAATGCAATTTCATGAAATGCAGTTCTATTGGCTATTGTTTTGTGCAAGCTAATTCATCACCATCTTCAAATCAATCAGAGAATGTGCATTGCCATGCTTGTGGGGCACTAAAAAATTGCCACTATTGTGCTATGTTCTTTCTCTGATGTACTAACTCCTAGTGCTCTGACTGCAATTTATGAAAACTTTATTCAATGTCTTTGTCTCTGACTGGAATTATACATCTGAAAATCATAATACTAAGATTGAATGAAGTTATTTACATAATCTTAGACTTATGCTAAGGGCTAAAGGAATTGATCTTTCATTTGTTCTCTCAGGATTGTTGGGCAATTGTATATTGAACAAGCTTGACTTACTAAATTTGAGACAACTTTTTGCAGGCTAATTCACATTATTTTGCTATCATTGAACAGGTATTGAACTCCCTCTTCATAGGTTTTGTATAGACATAAAATTTTTGGTATCTAAATTGAGTAGTTAATGCATTGAACAATCTACATATAGTTTTTTGATCTAAGGCCTTATGGTGCTTTTAACTGAAGTAGGCTATGTAGATTGCTTTGCATGAGGAGATTATTAATAGAAATTATTATGTTGGTCTGATTGTCCCCTATACAAGTATATGACGAGTATATGAATTGTAGATTGCTTTACATACCAAACACAAGCTTTTAAGTGGTATACGAGTATATGACGTTGAGATTTATTTTTTTATTTTTTTTTTAAACTTGTGCTTGGTATGTAGTCTCACCAAAGGTTTTTAATCCTTTTACTAAGTACATCATCTTTCCTAACATTTTTGGGCACCCTCGTGCTTCTACCCTTCTGATGGAAAATTGAGCCTTCAAAGGAAATTATAGTTCAAAATGCAATTAATAACAATCCCTTGAATTTTAGACTGAAACAAAGGAGTAAAATAGTTCATTCACCCTTTCAAAGTGAACTGGGATTTATGTCCAATTTGAAATGATCCAGTCCCTTTTGAATTGGCCATTTTTTGTTTGATATCTATCCAATTTCTTAATATAGGTTATAAATGGGACTAAATTGACCCAATGTAATAAATTAATGGATGAAATTGGTAAAATTGAAGCTACATGACTATATTGAAACTAGAGATATATCACAGGTATAATCTGTTTCGGGCTTTTCATGATGTTGCCACATCATTTTGACATGATTGGTAGTTTGATTCTCTTTGTTTTTAGCGATTACAAACTGTTGAAAACTACACCAAGTCCCAACTATAGAATTTAAGCTCCAAATCTATTTGTTAAAACCAAATAAAATCAAAAAAAGAGAAGCATGTTACTCTATCAACCTTTTTAGAGCTTTTCAGAGAATAAAAGATTATTTTACTGAACCGAAAGACTTTCAAAAAATAAATCAAGTTTGAAAGTTTATATTATGGCAAGATGACAAGCAAAGAAGCCTATATAAGCACAGGTTATTAGCTGAAAAGCTTTCCATTAAGTTTTCTTTTCCTTTCTTCCAAACACACCAAACATTTTTATCAAATGCACAACTTCTCAAAAGAGGGATATCTGATTTCAGTTTCTGCTTAGTCCTTACCACAACTAAGCATCTAGAGAGAGAGACAGAGAGAGAGAGAGAATCAGTTTCCATGTCTGACTTAGAATTTTTTCTCATTCTCCTTCCACCAATCTTAGCTCTATTTTTTATCTTCAATGTCTTTAAGACAAAGCAAAACACTCTTAATCTTCCACCAGGCAACGTGGGTTGGCCTTTTATTGGTGAAACCATAGACTATTTGAAGCCTTACTCAGCTACCACAATTGGAGAATTCATGGAGCAACACATATCAAGGTATCAAAATTTCAAATAACAATATCATATGCATATCTATATCGATGGTACAGTCATATTTAAGTCAATATCTAGCAGGATTGGCAGATATATCACTAAATATCGATATCAGAATACATATCAGTTGATGTTTAAGTCCTGACATAATTTTTGAACTGAGCAAAGTATCAAACTTATGAATACTTGCAAGTTTGGGAAAATCTACAAGTCCTGAGTAGTATCAATTGACATATCAATGAATATCAATATCATAATACATATCAACTGATAATTAAAACCTGATATATTTTTGAACTGAGCTACAAATCAAAGTTTTGAATATTTTGTAGGTTTGGGAAAATTTACAAGTCCCATTTGTTCAGAGAGCCAACGATCGTCTCTGCAGATGCTGGATTGAATAAATTCATATTGCAAAATGAAGGGAGGTTGTTTGAGTGTAGCTACCCAAGAAGCATTGGAGGAATCCTTGGAAGATAGGATACAACCTAACCCAACCCAATCCTCTTTTATCCTCTTTCATCCAACGATAAAAAATAATTTGGTTTTGGTTGGAGACATGCATAGAGATATGAGGATAATCTCTCTCAACTTCTTGAGCAATTCTAGGCTCAAGACACATCTGTTGCCTGAGGTTGAGAAGCAAACCTTGCTTGTACTAAGCTCTTGGAAGGACAATTCTACATTTTGTGCTCAAGATGAAGCAAAGAAGGTATACATCTTTCAAAAATAATATTCTATTTTATTATATAATGTTTTTAAATTTCTAAAAACGCGCAAAAGAGCAGTTTCATAAAAGCAAATAGAATCATTTTTTTTTTTTGGAGTTTGTGTGAAAAAAAAAAAACACTTTTGATTGCCTTGATTGTAAATTTCATAACACATATGATGTATTCAAATTGCTTCCCCTTCTAGGTCATGGATTTTATTTTATTTTATTTTGTATATTTTTTTATGATTTTTTACTGTGTACTGCGTCATATTAAATATGGGTGTGTGTACATATACATATATATGTTATATGTGGTACAAATGCTTTAAATTATTGAGAAGTATCTGCAGTTTACTTTCAATCTAATGGCCAAACATATCATGAGCCTGGATCCTGGAAAGCAAGAGACAGAAGAGCTGAAGAAAGAGTACATTACTTTCATGAAAGGAGTTGTATCTCCTCCTTTGAACTTGCCTGGACCACCATACAGAAAAGCCTTGAAGGTAACTCATGATACGAGATTTGATCCGTTAGATCTTAATGTCCTTAAAATTTTTGTCACTCTATTTTAAGTATATTCTCAATCACACAATATAGCGAAAATCTTGAAATAGAAAGACGATCATATAATTGAGAGTACATTTGAGATAGAGATTTCGACACAAAATATCTCTTGTCGAGATTCAACTACTTGAGTACTATTTGATTGAGAAACATAAAAGGAGGAAATAGGTGGTGGTTAGATAGAAAATCCTGTGGGTATTACATGCTTTTTGTCTACTTATGTTCTACGTTTGGCTACTCCGAATATAACATCTTTGCATATCTTATCTAAAAGAATAAATATCTAATACCAGTCCATAGTATTGCATATCTATACCATTGAATATATGTTCCTCTTTCATCCAACGATAAAAAATAATTACATTTTGGTAGATAGGATACAACCTAACCCAACCCAATCCACAACCACCCCTACTTTTATCTAATTTAGACAATAAAACAGGGGCCAAATGAAAATATAAAGTTAGGCATATTCATCCTATATAAGAGTTGATTACATTTTGTTACACTCAATTATCATTAAACATCATTTTACTCACTTCTAATTTTTAAACCATATAAAATTTGATTTTCTTCAATCCTTCCAGATATACTCGTACGGTTTTTATAGTAAAAGAGTTTAAATATATGATATTTTGACAAGTAAAGTAATATTCAATAATAGTTGACAGGTAAATTAATACACGTAAAGTGATCAATTCTTCCAGATTTATATTCTTTTTTTTTCTTTCTTTTTTTTATTTTTTTTGATTAACAGTCTCGATCAACAATCCTTAAATTCATAGAGGAAAAAATGGAAGAGAGGATGGAGAAGATGGGAGAAAAAACAGAGAATTTGGAGGATGATGATCTTTTGGGATGGGCATTGAAGCATTCAAACCTCTCAAAGGAGCAAATTTTGGACTTGGTACTGAGCTTGCTGTTTGCAGGCCATGAGACTTCTTCTGTTTCCATAGCTTTAGCCATATATTTCTTGCAAGACTCTCCCAATGTTGTTCAGCAGTTGACCGTAAGTAAACCATATATACACCACTAAAGCTTTCTCAATCTCTATGAAAGATATACTATACATAAACTACTTTCTATCATATTTTCTAATAACTTATTGGTTAGACACAAAAGACTTGTGTAAGTAGGTGAGTTTGGGCATCGTTTATTTTTTAATTTTTTATAAAAAGACGTATAAAAAAATAGAAATATTATGTCATAAAAATAATCAATAAACCAATACATTACTGATTTTATTTTTTTATCAGCTCCAAATCTCTAAAAAGGTTGATCAGATTTTCCTTGAGCTACATTGCCCTGAATTACAACAGCCCAACAATCAGACCAAACACAATGCCTTGACCTGTAGCAGCCCTTCATCCAAACCAATCCCCAAGTTTGTTAAAACCAACACAGCAGCATAACAGATCAAAACAGATAAGATATCAGAGCATCCCTTCAAGCACCAAAACAGAAGTAATAGGTGGCATTTTTGTTGGGTATTAACATCATTAGAAGTGTTATGCTAATTCCATTGTAAAACTTAAACTATATGTCATGAAAATGTTATTCAATATGTTGTATGTGTTTTCATTTTTAATCTGCAACTGTTTTAACTTGTTACCTATATGCTAAATTTGTGCAATCTGCAGTGCTTGCTAGTGAAAGGATGGAAGGGAACAAGCTGGAGTTTTCCCCGTGGGAAAAAGAACAAAGATGAGGAAGACCATGCATGTGCTGTTAGAGAAGTAAATATTCTTGTTTCTTATGGAATTCTTAGTTGTTCTCATATTTATAGTAATTAACAATTTGTATTGAACACCAAGGAGAACTTTTTTTCCTTTCTCTTGACATTCTTTATTCTTTAGCTTTAGGCCAGAAACAGAAAGAGTTCAACTTAATTAATTAATCGATGTAGAAACTTATTCCATTAATATAAAATAGAACAAAATGTCAGAGAGGGCATAATTTTCTTTTTAATTATTATTTATATATGAAATGTGCTGTTGCTGATGCCGGTTTTGAAATCCTCCATGTTTCCTAAATGCCTGTGGAAGAGATGAAAGGGTAATATGCCTGATTTGCTGATTCATCATTTCTACAGTGCATCAAGCTTACCTAATAGGTTGTCCATGGGATGCATACTATTAATCAAACAAAATAGCTGTCAGTATACCCTTGAAACTAGAGCACCTTTCTTGAACCTTGAATAAATATTCTTCAATTAAGGCTTCTTTTTTGGGTGGGTGCTGAGTGCTGACTGATCAATTTGGATCCCCATGAAGGGGTCTCCATCTCTAATAACAAAATGAAACTATCAATTTGGATCCCCATGAAGGGGTCTCCAACTTAGTTTCACATTTTTAATACATTTTTTTTGAACTACATTTGTTATTCATTTGTCACTTGCTTTTTGCACTTATAGCTCACCTAATCCATGCTTGATCTGGGCTGTGTTATTTTGTTGTACTTTATAACTCATCAGCCAAGCTATCTTTGTGCAATTCTCATAATGAAGCTATATACCATGACACTTTTTTGTTGCCAGTTGTTGCATCTTAGTTTATCTGTTTGGTGCAGCTTCCTTAACAGTTTTGTTTAAGCATATTGGGAACACTGATGAGCCTAGCACCGAGGAAATCATTTATGAGGCTAGCACCGTGGAAAGCATTCGTGAAAAGGTTTTATGCTTTATCAGGGATAAGGTGAGATATTTCCTAATGTTTTTATTAGTTCCTTGATTCCCCCTGGCATATGTGAACCATAACTGCTGCAATTTTTCAGGTGTTTCCAATTAAAGCAGAACTATTGAAGCCACAGGAGTAGATGGAGAGACATATAACTGATTTGGTGAAAAAAGTATGACCCTGTTCATAATTCTTTTGTTCATTAGTCTATTCTATTCTTTAATTATTTTTTTTTGTGCTTATATGCCATGTCATCTTTTGCCGATATGGTGGGTCACTTGGTTCCATTTTCCCATCTATATAGTAGGATGCCAAATTTTGGGTCCTTGTTTTGTTTGTCATTTGTGTTCTTATATATTTTTGAGAGGTTGATTGAGTGGTGTTCCAGAGTTTGCAAGATGTAACGGAGGCAGAATTTAAATTGTTCATGGACTTCTTGAGAAGCTTGAGTTTATTCGGTCAGAATGCTCCTGTTGAGCATGTTCAGGAACTTGTTGAAATTATTGAAGGGCAGGCTGATCTAGATGCACAGTTTAATGTGAGTGCTTGTTTCTGGTCTCATATATGACAAGCTGGTAAACAGAGTATTATTTATTTATCTTTTATTACGATGATATTACACCAGCTACTGTGAGTGTTGACATCATAATAGTACTTTCTGATAAGTTCTTTCAAATTTTTAATTTTATTCTTAAAAAAATGAGACTTGTTTTACTCATTTGTTCTCTGCTGTGTGCTGGACTACTTGTATGATTATTTAATTGAATAAGCATGAAATGTTAGCTTGCTTCTATGTGTTAGTTGTGTGCAACTAAGTTATTATGCAAATTTAGTATACTTTTAGAAAGACTATGGGTGTGTTTGGTTTGTGTTTTGAAACATGTTTTTGGAAGAAAATTTCTAAAAACATGTTTGGTTACTAATTTTTTTTAAAAAAAATTCAAAATTACTTCCCTCTCTATTACATATCAATCTATCATTTTCTCTCTCTCATCTCTCCTCCTCAATCACTCTCTCTCACACACATATCTACTCAACTACAACAAAATATCAAATCATCTCAAATTTCCAAACTCCAAAACTATTTTCAAAATATACAACCAAACAAACCAAAATAATTTCTAAACTCTCTCCCCAATTTTTTTTTTCTTTTTTTTTAAAATTTTATCTCAAAACACAAACCAAACACACCCTATGTTTTGGTGTGTTGAAAATTTTTCCATTTCTCTTTCCTATGAGCAACTACATAAATTTTCCACCCTACTGTAATTGAGAAAGTAAATAGCCTCCAAAAAATTATTAGGAGGAGACAATGCAATATTCAAAGTAACAAGACAAAATGACTAATTTGGAACCCTGAAGTTTCACTAGATTCACATCTTAATTTTTTGGTGTGATGGCAGCTATATGGTTGGGTATTTGTAAATTTTGTTTCTTGATTTTTTATATGGTTGGGTAAATTTTGTTTCTTGATTTAGAAGCTGCTATGCATATGGAAGAAGTGAAGCAATACTACATTGGTCATGGGGTAACAAAGAAGCATTATAAAAGGCATCACGAGGAGGGTGATCTTTTTGGTGTCTCCTTTGTGCTCTTGTATAGATTGTTAGGGAGAGGTTTTCTCAAGTTTGGTCTTGCTGTAAACCATTTGGATGGTGGCCTTTGGTTTCTCTGGAGGTGGCGCTTCACATGTATCCCATGTGCAATTTTGAATATTGACTCAGTTCTTAGTTCTTATTTACATAAATGCATCATCGTTTTGAAACTAAATTTCGGCATAGTAAGTCAAGAAAGCTTGATATATGATATAGGAAAAATTGATCTTGTAGATAATTTGTTTCTAGATCTTCAGAAGCTCTGATGTGCTAACTATAGTATGATGTACTAACCATAGTATGTATTTATGCATAGAAGCAACATACTTTTTCTATTTCTTTGTGGGTTATTTAATTCACAAATATGACAACTTTTCAGTCTTGCATATATGGTATAACAACGGTTGCTGCTGCAGGTTTCAGATGGTGACCACATTGACAGATTAATATCTTGCCTGCATATGGCTCTTCCATTTTTTACGGTACAAATTGTATTTGCAATCAATTTTACCAAATTTAGTGGATTATATGATTATCTGTCCACCTTAACTTTTTTTTTTTTGGGTTTCCAGAGGGGTGCATCAAGTAATAGGTTTCTCAACTATTTGAACAAGAATATTGTACCTGTTTTTGATAAGGTAATTAGTACTTTCCACTAATTATTTTATTTGGAGATTAAAATAAATAGTAGAGTTTGTAATTGTCCTACATTTTGCGCATTTGAACTAGACCCAACGTTTATAATGTCCCAACTTTGTTTTTGCCAACTTACATTACTTGATAATTGACTTCAATGTGTTACCTCATTTGGTAATGAAATATCATACAGAAGAATGCATTATAAATCATAATGATAACTATGTATTATTACAACTTATGAGCAAATCTTCTCAGGCTTTTTGTAGCAAATGAAGTAACTTTAAAAAGGGAAAAATAGCTCTTGTATTAGTAAGTTTGTTGTATTATTATCTGAATCTAAAGAAGATCCAATCCCAGCAAAATACTTTTTCTTCATGACGTGGAACCCCTCCAAGGCAAGGCCACTTTGGGCTGACCCTTGCAGGCTGAACCTCGGATACCAACATCCAATCCCTGCCAAATACATTCCTAAGATATCTTGTAATATTAATTAATTATTTTTTTTCGCAAAAAATGACAATTGCCGACCAAGAGGATTGGTCGCAAAAAATACATCTATTGCCGACCAAAACAGTTCTTGGTCGTGGAAACTCACTTTTGCCGACCAAAAGTTTTGGTCGCGAAAAGTAACAAATGGCGACCAAAACCTTTTTTGGTTGTGGAATGTCACAATTGACGACCAAACTTTTTGGTCGCGGAATGTCACGATTGGCGACCAAAATTTTTTGGTCGCAGAATGTCATGATTGGCGACCAAAATTTTTGGTCGCGGAATGTCACAATTGGCGACCAAACTTTTTGGTCGTTGAATGTGATAATTGGCGACCAAATTTTTTGGTCGTGAAAATATCACTTTTCGCGACCAAAGTGTTTTGGCGACAAAATAAATTAGTCACGGTAATTAAATATTTAGCGACCAAAAATTTAGTCGCGAAATCCAACTTTTGCCGACCAACCACAATTTTGGTCGCGAATTACTTTTGCCGACCCTCAATTGGCGACCAAAGTAGCGACCAAAAAAATTGGTCGCGGATAACTTTTGCCGACCAAATATTGACTTTTAGCGACCAATTTTTTTGTTGCCAAAAGTGTTAATTCTTGTAGTGAATGAAACTCAATGAATTACAATCACGATAAATATATCAAATACAACACAATCAATACAAAGAAACTCCTAAAGTAAGATAGAGAACAAGACCCACCTGTAGGCAGGGAGATTCAAATCATTGACCTCCTAGTGAGTTCAACATCACAACCAAAGCTAACAATATTAGATGTATATATATAATGCGAGAATATCAAACTAGCAAAGATACTAGAAACCCCAAAATATATGGTGGAGTCTAAAATGTGAGAAATTAGAGATTAAATGTTTGAAGAAGCAGCATGATATTTCAAAGTGACACTAATAATATGTGGAGTACAATTGATGAAATGCATTAAAAATAGATAGAACCGATTATGTATTCTAGAGATTGGATTCACAACATTACATTGTTGAAATTATTCCCAGTTAAATTAGACAACCCCACACAGAAATAGCTTCTCATAACCAAGTAAAGGACATGAATCTAATGCTTTGATTGCTAAAAGAGTTGGGCCTAAATATAAAAAATATATTTACAGATATTGAAACTTTGAATTTCAAATCTTCTGTCATTTGGAAACCACGAAAAGACAATATCTAGCAGTGGAGGTCATTTCAAGTCTCAATATAAGAAACAACAAAAAACAATTTTTTTTATTTCATTTTTGTTTCTTCTTCTTTTATCAGTGATCAACCCCCACAATAAATGAGGCGTGAGGATGCATTGGAAAAACCAAGAACAACTATTGGAGCTCTCTTATGCATATATCATTAAACACTAATATATATACAAATGTCAATAAAACTAACAACTTAGGCATAAGAATGGAACTTATAGTTCAGATTATCTGTCTGTGCTGCTACAAGTAAAATTTGGACAGAAACAACTAGCAGACAGACATGAATTCTTGAACCCATTATTGAAGCAAGAACCACGTAGATTCTTCAACTCACTAAATGGCAATGAAACACTTCGAAACCACGTAGTTCTTTCCTTTAGTTCCAGTTGTTCAGTATAACTCTTTAAGATAAGAAAGTTTCTTCATGACTGTAGTCAACATATGCATAGTTGCAATTAGAACAATATGAAAGCACAAGGACATAAAAATTATTTGTTCAAGTAATTACAATACAACAATTGCACACCATGATCTAATTTCCTTCACAATAGAACAGAAAGAAAAAGAAATCCATTGTTGCACCAGAGTCAATATGAACTAATTATAAGTATGAGGGGTTTGTAAGAGGAAACCTGCTAGTCTTGTAGATTCCTCATGAAAAAGAAAGATTCAAGGAATTTACAAAATTAAAGGCCTATGGACAAGTTTGATTTTTGAGTTAGATTAGTAATTAAAGACAAGAGTACTAGCATCTTTTCTGGGGAACAAATTTCCACTTGGGTCATTTTCCAGTGAAGCTATCAAACAAGTTGCCAATTGTGCATCATGATAATCACAAGATGCTAGAGACTTTTTTGACTAGGGGGTTGTAAATGTAACATGAGAAGAAGGTAAATGAAAGCCTAAACACATTACTTCTACACTTAAATCTCTGTTTTTCTTATACTTCCATCGGCACAATTTTGTATGAGTCCCAAGACACCAAGTTGGTATTTTGTGTAACAGGTATATACAGTGTGTATCTTCTCTTCCACCTATGGGTCAACGTTTCAAATTTTGCTTGCCACGTCATTTGGGAATTTAGGGAGGAGAAATTAGTGGATGAATCATTTTTTAAAAAAATGAATGCTCATTTAAAGATTAGAGATGTAGGCCATAAGTCCAATTTCGAAACATCTAGGCTAATAGTCTCAAACTCTATTCTTTTGGGATCGAAAAGAAAAAATAATTTAAAAGACCATACTGCCTCTACCTATAATTTTTATTAAACATTGTTAATGTTATGGAAATTGTGAATTTTGTTTCAATATGGGCTCGTGTATCGAGTCGGTGAAAATGAATGACCGGAGGATGGGTCATGGTGTTGGAATTAAAAGAATAATATGGTTGAGAATGACCAAATGTTGATTTTGAACTTAATTTGTAATTTCGGGGACGAAATTCTTTAAGGGGGGGAGGTTATAGCGAGCCCGGTTTCTAACCCGACCCTTATGGTGTTTCGAACTCGGGTCTTGTGGTTTAAGGTTGTTGTTCATGTCTTTTTCTCTTCTTGCCCTTTTAATTTGAGTTTTGGAATGTCTTAGGCGTGTTCAGAACAGGTTGGTTGGTTGGTGGTCTAGAACCTTGTTGCCCAGAATTTTGGTCATCCGCTCAAGCGGATCCTTTTGCGCTCGAGCGGGGTTTACAATCCTACAGTACTTTGTGCGTTTGCAAAATACTGTAGAAGTGTTTTTCACGCTCAAGTGGAGTTTCTTACGCTCGAGTGGGTTTGAGCTAAAGCGGCCCTTCTGGTGCTCGAGTGGCTGTCTGAAATATGCAAAATACTAGACAAGTGTATTCTACGCTCGAGCAGGTGTAATTGCGCTTGAGCGAGTAGTGCCTTGCTGTTGTGTCTTGGCGCTCGAGCGGCCTTTATTGGGTTTGAGCGGGTAAAATTATTGTGTCTGGCGCTCGAGCGTCAAACTCTCCGCTCGAGCGAACTGTACGTATATCAGATTCCGAAAGTGACATTTGAAATCACTTTTTCTAGCATTTCCCTCGTTCCAAATTTCCAAAATCGTAAGTTGAGAGCTTCTCTCTCTATACATTTTGACCCAGATCTAGTGATCTCTTCACCCCCTTCCTTCATTAAAAAGTTGGAGCTTCTCAATATCTTTATTTTCATCCGAGTGGAAGTTGATTTCGGCGTCTTTGGAATTTATCTCTTGTTTGACTCGTCTTCTCTTCTTGAGGTAGGGATAATCTACTCATTTTTATGAGTTTTAACCTAAATGTTAGTCATTTTGTATGAATGGTGTGTTTTGGAAATTTTGGAAAGTTAGGGTTTGAGATTTGAAATGTTTGAAAGAGGGGTTTTCTTTTTTGAGCTCCATTTTGTATGAGAGGCCTTAAAATGGGTTTATTTGTGTAGAATTGATGAAGTGTGGCCTTGGGTGCACTATTTGAGAGAAAGGGGAAAAATGCCCTAATTGAATTAAGGGGGTTATTTGTATAATTATGAAATTGATGTAGGAACATGAAATTGGTTAGGGAATCATGAAATTGGAGGAAATTGTGATTAAATGGTGTAGCTGGATTGATGAATCACTCACCTGTGAAAAATGTGATAAATTATCTGTTGAGAAATTTATTTATCTGTTTAGATATATCTACTTTGGGCTATCGGTGGAGGATAGCCATGATTGTTGTAGAAACTGCATGTTGATTAGGTAAATTGAAACTAATCATTTGGATTATGTCATTGAATAAGACGGTTGGGTATAAGCATTGTGTATGTGATTGAATTGGTCATTGTATATGTATTTTTGTTTGGGAGGAGATAGGGGTTGTACTCTATTGTTTGGGAGGAGATAGGGGATGAACTCTATGGATAATTAAGTTGGCCGAAGTGTCCTGGGTGAAAGTCCCGAAATCTTATTTATATTTGGGTGCCGGTTCCCTTGGACGCAGTTCCATAAAATGGCAAGATATCAGAAGTGTATGATGGATGTTAATATGTGAAGTGTTGATAATATGAGTTGTTGTCTCATTGTGAATTATTTGAATAATATTGAGCTAAGTCAATGAGTTGAATTGAATACTTAAGGGAAAGTGGAATTATTTCGATGTAAATATTGATTTGTGACGAAAATGGTGTAAGTTGCTTTATAGTTGTTGAACATTTATTGGATGCTAGTGTTTTAGTTATTTCTCATATAATGTTTATCATATCTCTACTGGGCATTGGCTCACCCTACTTGGGACACCATTTTTCAGGTACAGGTGATATGCCGCCTGAAAGATCTTAGCTTGGGAGGTACAGGAGTTGAAGACTCCTTCTGATATTTTGTTTTGTTGATTAAATGTATATTCAGCCTAGAGCTTTTCATGTATAAAGTTAGAACTCTTCTTTTGTTGTACCTAAGTGATAACTTGGAAAGCTGTAAGCCCGT